CCCCAAAACCCCAAAACCCCAAAACCCCTCAAATTAATGTCTAATTCAAATATTGATCAAATAATAAGTTATCAATTTATAAATTATCATAATCATCAAATTAATTTAATTTTCAAATAGGTTTAACCTTATTACTCATTTTAGAGCCGAAGAGATCACTTACCTTTAAGCTCTAGCCTTATGAAATACTTAATAAACTTCTGCTTAAATTAGCTTGTGATTCATTTAGGAGGCTGATTGCTCTTTTGTATCTCTTCCTCTCATGAATATCATAAGTGAGATTATTTATTCTTGCTTATCTATAATTAGTATATGTCTGCACTTCATCTCTTGTCTGAAATTACCCATCCTTATTTTCCACTGATAACTGCTTATATAGCCCATCTCTATATATTAAGCAATACTTCACAGCGATGTTCAGGTATTTAGTAATGGATAGTAAAATTACAGCAGAGCATATCATCACAAAATATTAGAACCCATTCTGGGTGAATACTCTATCATAAAATGTCATTTCTTTTACATAGTAGTAGCTGATGGCTTTAATTTGCAGCTCAATTACATTCTTAGGGAAGATTAAGGGCTCTGAAAATACCCAGAGAGTAAAAGCCATGTGAAAAAATAGAGAGAAAAGCAATAGATTCAGTGCTCTTTAGAGCAAAGTAATTTCATATTTTGGAGGAATTCTGTAACACTTAAGCACTATAAATAATGAGTATTAGATATTAATATTACACAAGAATTTTTCAATAGCATAGAAACAACCTAAATATATTGGTATCATTAAGAATAATCCAGGGTAAGCTCCAGAAAACACAAATATAGTTCCAAGAAATTAACAAATTTAAGCTAATTTTGAAGACATATTAATTTTCATGCCCTTGCACACTTTATGAAATTCAGACATTAAAATTTTATCTCTTGCTTTGCATGTAACTGATATTTTGTAATAAAGTAATCTGAGAAATGAAAGAATCATTGTAAAAATCCATTATAAAACAATGATTGAACAAATTGGGAAATTAAACCATTTAATCCAGTCTCTTGTCGAAGATTCATATTGTCCCATCATAATTAGGGTCTTAAAACTTCTTCCACCTGGTAATTGGAAATCTAAATTGTTTGAAAGGCTCTTGACATTTCTATTTGATTCATTGTTGGCATTAATTAGAATTAGAGGAAGCCAAGTGTTCATAAACTAAAACAAGAATAGAACTGATAAGGAATATTTTTAGTACTCAGTCAAATTATAATGTCTTAACATCTAAGTAGATTCTATATATTATATAATATCATATGAATTATTTTTACTTTGAACAACTGTTTCTGTTAGCTAATTTATCGAAAAAATTGTGATAGATAGGAAAAACATTGCTGAGTAATAGTAAGGCACATTCTTAGTCCAATCATAGCAATAGTTATAGTAACTTGTTTTGGATCCATACATAATTTAGTATGTTGAAAACTAACTGCAAAAGCATTCCCGATAATTTTACTTGTCAATCGAGCTTGCATAGTCATTCTCTGTTTTACTGAGGTATTTAGTGTCTTTACAAGCTGGATCATACTAAGTGTACAAAAGATACTCTCTGAAAGTATAGCATACTAAATATAAAGCTGCAAGAATAATTAACTCATACAAAGCTAAAAGTAGTGATAGTCCAATAACTCTCTGTTGTGAATACTAATAAAATTCAAAATTAATCAGAGTTGGATCAATTGCTCTTGATACGCTAAAGAAAGTTTTATTGATTTAAATGATACCTAATGGGAATTGATCTAATGAATCTACCCTCTTTATTCTCACTCGGATTCTTTTTATTAAAATGATCTAAACACTTCTTCACAGAATCTTCACTTTCAAAGTGTATTATAGCAGTAATCAATGGGAATTGATCGTATCTTAAAGCTTATAGATTAGTTATAGTAGCATCTTCTAGTTTGATATCATATAGCTTCTCAACTTTACTAATATCTTCTACCTTTCTATGGCCTATTAATTCTTTCTTTGCTTTTATCATTTAAAGTTGCCTCTATCTTATACCTGCACTGGTGAATTAATGCAGAGTCTAGTTTACATCTCTAATTAAGGAAACATGCATAATCATGCCAAAAGATTAGAAATGATTCCTGATATCTATCTCCTCAATTTAGTCATCTATAATCTTCAATTATTGGATCAAATTAACCTAGACTACTGCTCTATAGTTATTTGAAAATTATCTTTTTATTTTCTTTGCTTCAATCTTAATTTTCATTTTCATAAATATCAGCATTATGAAGATGACAGTTGTACAAATTAAGTCAATATAGTAATACATGTACTTCCACTCATCCCATTTTTAGTTCCACCCTTTTGCGTTTTCATTGGTTGTCATATTTGAGTAACCGTAAAAATTAGCAAGACTGATAAAGTCTAAATAAGTTTCCATCGTATCAGTGCTTAAGTAATTCCCACTAAAATTCACATAAGTCATTAAGCTATAGAGCATTGCTATTATTCCAAAGAAAAACGTTAAAAATCGCATAAGATAGAAGTACAAATATAATGTCTCCCCGTAATGCATTAAATCATGAACTTTAAGTCGACAATAAGGTATTAAATTTCCTTCAGAATCTGATATTCCAATTCTGGTCCTAAAGTATGATTCTCCATCTTCAAGACTGCCTCTTACATCCTCTTTCAAATCTTACTGCATTGCCAGTGATTTATTTCCAGAAAAACCTCTCTTAAAGCTCATCATACTATTGTTATCCTCAGGCTTGCCAATAACTTGTTCAATATCATTATTCAGAGAGGATAGATCAATTTTCTTATCTTAAGAGTCTAAATTTCTCATGGTAGTTGGAATATAATTATGATTGTTTTATTATGTGCTCTCTTCCACAGATTAATTCATCAGTGTATTTAAAGTATTATACTAGTTGATATTTGGTAAAGTTAACTGAGGTTCTATTATAGCTTTATGATTTCTCATTTACGAAATAATAATAATATTGAGAATTATTAATATTAACTGAAAATTTTAACTTACTTGCAACCAATGGGGTTTTGGGGTTTTGGGGTTTTGGGGTTTTGGGG